TGTGTGTATACACACTATTACTACTACTACTACTCCAAAATCATAGTAATAATTAGATAATAAAAGGGCCTATTATTAAAGGTATTGAGGAACAATCCCTATTACTATGTCATAAGTTTGTTTTCATCATATTTTGAGAATGTGTTTAAACATAATAAGTTTTGTTTAATTTTAGGTGGTTTATGCCTTTAATATTATTATTCAGAAAGTGGGTACATGGATTTCATAAAGTACCAAAGACACACTTAAGGATCTCTGTTCCCCAGAAATATTTTAACTAGCAAAAAATGCTTGCTGAATTTCTTAAGATTGAAAAAAATAGCATCAAATTTGGGAGAATTCAATTTGATGAGTCACTGACTGAAATGTTGCGTGGGCAGCCCTAAGAAAATTAAAATAGGCTGTATCCAAGATCGCTGTCTTCTTCTTCTCTCTGACTTCAATGCCCTTGTTCTGACTTGTGCTAGAGTTACCCAGAATCCTTCTGAGTTGAAAGATGCTTTCCATCCTTTTCTGGCACTTCTCAAATATTGATATTTTTATTCATAATCTAAAAGAGATCTCTGCTAAAAGTATAAGAAACTCCATTAATATGTGATGTCTTCCTGGAAAGCTACTTACATTTGTTCACTGGCTTCATGGAGACAATGCCTTAACTGCAGCAAATTCTGAAATGTGAGAAAATAGAGAAGATCTCATTACTAATCAAGAGACTATAAATTCAAGCTTTTCTCTTTGCCTTTGTTCTCAAAAGCTCTAGAAAAGGTCAAGTGCACAAAAATATACAAGTGGTCTACTTTTTAGAGCCAAATTTCCAAGGTTCAGTTGGATTAGGTATCCATTCCTGCTGCTATAACAAAATATATTAGACTGGTAACTTATATACAATGGAAGCTTATTTCTCACATCCCTCAAGGCTAAGTTGTCTCTCATGGGCAGCACTTTGGGGAAAAGGGACAAATATCCTCCTTCAGCTGTCTTATAAAGGGTACTAATCATATCTAGGAATGTGTAGCCCTTATGATCTAATTATCCCCAAGGATCAAACTCTTAATAACATCACCTTTAAGTTAAGTTCCAACACACAAATTTGGAGAACACATGGATTCAAACCATAACACTAAAAAAATCTGTCCCTTTGCTAAATTCAGAAATATTAAAAATAATGCTTTCTTTAACATACTTATGAGAGACACTCCAGAGCACTTGTATTTGCACCAATATTCCAAAGCCCAGATGCTTTCCAAAGCTGACTATGCCCATATATTTCCTCAATCTAATGCAGTTGGCCCATTTTATGCTACTCCTCATAGATTCAGAAGTTAGAATTAACATATATTCATATCTTGTGAGACTAGCAGCATATAAACTGTGAGAAACAGCTAATGATTTAGTCAAGTATTTTCGTTTTTTCCTCTGCCTTTCTCTATAACGTAGTTGATGGTGCAACAGGAAAATTTTAAAGATAAAATTTTAGGTTGAAATCGAATAGATTAAAAAGAATTACATTCACTTTTCTCTGCCACCCGCCAGGGAAATGTGTTAACCAAGGATCACATTGTAATGGTAATGTGTTCAAACACTTCCCAATTTTTTTTTTATATTTAACTTTCTTAAGACTCAAAGCAGGAACAAAGGGAGCCCACCTCCATTTCTCAGTCTGGTAGCACATTTCACAGAGGAGGGAAATGATGATTGAATAGTTAGAATTTGTACAATTCTAATTATGTGGGACGCTGAAATAAGATTAGCAAGGATAGAAAATTCCGAGAAGCAAATGACATCCACAGGAGCGAGGTTTAGAAAAGTCTTGGCATCTGAGATTAAAGAGCATGAGTCTCTTCCTAATTAGCTTATTATAATAGGAGTATTAAAATTTAGCATTTACTACCGGGAAAATAACCGGGGTTTTTTTTTTGCCAGAGCATATACGTTTAATCTTTTTAGAACTAAAAAACTTCAAGGGTGCAGAACAAGCACCTCTGAAGTTGAGGGTTCATGTATGTTCTAAAGCACTCAGCAACTGATAACCACAATGCCATCTGCAGGAGGAACATGCCACCCTTCCACTGGTACCATCCAGGGCCCCTCGGCTTACAGGTCACCTCGCTGTAAAGTTTTACATACACACAGGACTGGCATACCGCAAAGAAGAACATTTTAACAGATGTGTAATACCAGTGTGAACAGTCACACGTTTGAAAATAAAAAATTAATATAACTGCCTTCTATACCAAAACAAAATTTTTCACTTCACTTGGCTTTTTCACAGTTTCTGTCTTTCCCCTCCTGAGATATCATTTATCTGCCAAATTGCATTTTATCTAAAAGCTTTTGGGCTATTTAAATGAGATTACACTTAAAACGACTTGCAAGGTCAGAGGACAATTCCTCAGATTTTGGCAGGATTGCTGCCATTTGTTCAATTAACTCGGGGATGATCTGAAAGTAAATTGATATTGGGGAGAGAAAGTTACAGAATGTCCATCTATGTGATGAGCATCTGAATTGTACTGGTTCTCTGAGAATTCAGAAAGCCAAAGTTATGATGGAATGCAGGCCCTACCTGGGGCTGGGGTAAACAATCCAATGAAAATGTTAGGGATATGACTATTTCTCACATAAATGAATACAGTACTCAATCTGCACAAGAGCTCCAGGCTAAGAGGAAATGCCTCCCTGTATTTTACACCTTGGTTGCTTCCTTGCTGTATCCAACTTTGTAGGCATTTAAGTATTTTGGTATTATCAGCTAGATTTGATGTTAGGACTCATGGTACAGAGGACAAAAATATTTTCCTAAATTTGGTGTATAGTCCACCTAAGCCAGAAGTACTTGCAAAATCTAGAAAAGTTGGGATTTTCATACCATATCCTCAGTTTACTGAGACAAGTACTTAGAGAGTGAGATATAATAATCTGCATTTATAACACACATTTTAAGTAATTCCAAAAAACTATAAAGTAGTTTCTCAAGTACTTCTGCATAACTGGCACTATTCATTGATCGAATCAATATAAGCTAGGTAGCAATGAAGGCAGTCTTTATCTTAAACTATTTTCCTTGAACTAAAAGAACAACAAGGTAGAAGAAGAATGCATCCTTGTGAATTTATCCATCTATGTAACTTGCTATGTCTCTTTTTCTAATAAAATATAGTATAATAACTTCAAATAATTCTATGTAGAAAATGATGTATTAAATTTAATTTGTTGAGTATTGTATTTGTTCTGAAATATTATTTGGTAGTATATAACAGCAAATAATGCTATTTTCACAGGTAGGTAAACTAAAAACAAGTGGCAGCGGAGTTTCTGAACCTTTTTGAATTTATATTTCTTCATTTCTCACCCCCAATATTTTAGCAGGCTAATCACCCAGAATGCCAATCAATTAACACAATACATATTGTTAGAAACTTAGCATATCTTAAAGGATATACCCTTAAAATAGGAACAAAAAGTTGAAGTTTCATACTATTCTGAAGAAAGCATGGAATTGGGATATTTCCCTGTACAAGAAAACGTTGTCTTTTGAATCAACTTAACCTAATGAAACACTTCTATTTAAGGAGCTGCAATCCTGGTAAAGACAGACATTAGACTTTTGACTATGGAAACACCCAATTCATATTGTACATGTTGTTACATTTTTGCAGTGAAAAGAAGTTTATACTTTTCAATTTTGGATTCCATTTTCTTTTTTTATGTAATAGACAACTCTCCAGGGCCTAGAAAAGCCTTACCCAATAGATATTCTCTGTTATCTCATTTATTACAGCAATGATTATGATATGAAGACATATTTTGGTGCTAACAAAGCCATATTGCAGGCTGAATAGCTAAAGTGGCAGAAGAGAATGGCTCACTAAGGTACAGTTTTGGAGAATATATTGCAGCAGAATTTTCAACTAGGGAAAAAGAGATTGTTTTTGTGTGTTAGTTGAACATTGATTATAGTACTTTGGGGGATTGTTGGATGGTGTTTTGGAATTTGAGGCTTCTACGAATGTGACAAAAGCTTTTTCTGGGTTTTCCAGGAACAAAGGCTTACTCGGGATTACTGATTCTAGCGAAGGATGTATATGCAACCTTTGTTACCCGATTACTAGCATCCGGTCAATATGGAGCTATGATTCTTTCCCCATACATAAAATAAAAAGATGAGCAAGGTTATCGATACCAATACCAAGATGAGAGAGTGAGATATAATAATATAAAGAGAATTCAAGCACGATAAACCTCAAACCATAAAAAATACAAGTCTAACATATTCACGCAATAGGTAAATGTTCAGGATTCATTACCAAAACAGGTCTCTGGTTCTTTTGGTTTCCTTTACTTTGTCCTGTTAGTTAAGTTGTACAATAAAATGATGTTTGCTACAGTGGCACTTTGGAGCACTGGTTCAAAATTAGTTAAAGAACTTGTTGAGTTATACCAGAAATCTATCCCTCTCCATCTCTCAAATCTGCTTTCTTGCATTGCCACCTTCTTTGGGCAGATTCTTTCCTGGGATGTCCATAGCTCTAAGTTTTCATGTTCCTCATAGCTAGCAAAACATGAGGTCCACTGTTCCTTGTTTTCTAAGATTATATCCTACTGGCCTGTATCACATTGCTGACTCCTGCAACCATCATCATGAAAGAGTATGAAATGTACTGCCTAACAGGCCCAGGTATTCACCTAACCATGGTGCCAAAATGCAAAATTGTTCTCCTGCAGATGCTAGCAAATAAGAACATAAAAGGATTTCCAAAGAACAGTTGCTTCAGCAAGAGAACGTTTTATTTTCATTGATTGAGGAGCTTCATGAAAGGTAGGCAGGGCAGGACTGGTAAGGAAGATCCATGGTATTCTCATTCTAGGTTCCTTCCACATTACTATTCCACCATGAATGATATGTGGCTTTCACTCCCAACGTTTCCTCAAATTAAAGCAGACGTAGCTCCATTTATCCATTTCTCATTTTAGGCAGGAAGAAGGGAAAAGAGGGAAGGCTGAACAAGATACCTCTCCTTACCAAGTTTCTCCCTTTACAAGTTTTCCTGGAATTGTTACCAGATGATTTCTGATTCTATTTCATGAGTCATTTTTATCTGCAGTTTTGTTTTGTTTTATTTGTTTTGAAGCAAGTCCCATTGCTCCCTTTCCCTACCTCCACATTCATGGGACTGTGACTTCCTCACCATCAGTGATAGTATTAGAGGCAGAATTCTTAAAAGCATTTTCCATACTATATATTCTTGCAATGTTTGATTTTTTTTTTTGCAATATTTTGATTGACTTGAAGAAAAATAAAGACAGGGAATTGTGGAATATGTAAGGGTAAGTAGGGGACATCTACAGTAGGGGTATCCCAACATTGGAATATGGATTATATCAACATATGTTGACTGTTCTTACATTATTCTCTTTGTCTACATTATTGTCTTCTTTTATATCCACTGAAAACCATATTTACGCTTCTTCCTTATTCATTAAAGTGATTAAATTGTATATAACAAACAAAATTTTTCTTATTTAGCAGTGATGGCATGAAAGTTTAAAATAGTGTATAGGCCAAAAGCGCAAGTTCTGGAATCAGTAAAGATTAATGCTTATTAATGTGCTTTGCTTTTCTGGGAAGGTCACTTCTGCCTTCTGTTCCTGGGAGACATTCCTTCTA